CTAAGTATGAAGTCGATGGTTATTGGTGATTTTGACCCTACATTAATGTCATTTGTGTCCAGAAAGAAGCCAAAACATGAGGTTCTAAAAATATTCACGTGCTAATCAGATAGCGTTCCACACAATGTCATGGTAATCGTAGAAGTGAATGTCCTGTTCACATTGTTTCGAGAAATCAATTGTCAAGGTATACTATATAGTCCCAATCCGGTAAACAAAAAAAAATTAAAAAAAAAATTGACTAAATTAGTTTGAAAAAGATATTTCAATCTATAATGGTACTCAAAAGCAACGACACGATAAATTCTTATTAGTGTACCCCAGTTTAATTGTATTAAAGATTTTAAGTTTTACTTGTTGTCATAAAGGTATTAAAAGATTTATTTGTGCGTGGTAGTTTTATACTGCCAGATAATTACTTTTATCTGAATTTTTTAGAAGAATAAATTAATATTGCCTGTCAGATTGTACTCACGGACGAAAATCCGACATTGAAGCTTAAATATGCATATTACCATACATCCTCCTGATTTTTTTCTTTTCCAATTATTTACGATTTTCTCTTATAACTGTCCCGCATTATTCCCTTCCACTTCAAAACAATTGGACCTTGAGTTGTCATCTAGATACAAAGACCCCTGGGAGGAAACTCACTGTTTCAATTTGTACTAGTCAGAAAATCTTTCCCTTCCACTTTAGAAGCTTTATGTGCCCTTCCCATAGGTGTAATCGTAATATTTTTATATTTCCACTTAAACTTGTAGGTATTCTTTCTACCCTTATTTATGACATCCACGTCAATCGTCATAATCTGTCCAACATAATATGACACCCATCCAATTGAACAAGATCATAAATAACTTCTGATTTGTGAATTGACAAAGGTACATTACAAATTTAAGTAACCTGAATAGACGAACCTATCTTAATCCATCCAATTTGATAAGGATTTGAATGTGGTTCGTTTGACAACTTCAGTTGATGCACTAGCTTTTTCTTGATCAATTGTCTATGATCTGACTGCAAACAGCATCATTGGCCTGAAAGATCTATTCATGATGAGTTAAATCTTCCTGCTCGGATGAGCACAAGATTTTCTCCACAGTATATACAAAATCTCCTTGTTCTTCTCCACAAACTTCATCGATATATTCTTCCTCTTTCTCTTATCTCAAGCATCCGATTTGTTTTCTTCTACTGCAAGTCTCTTGTTATTTTCTATTCGAACTATAGGCTCCACGATCCATTCATGGTTGATTTCTTTATTGCCATGTTGATGATTCTGCCTATTGTTAGTTTGTTACCAACAACCCCGTAACAACATTTGACTGATCTCTCCAATCTCAGTAGTAAGATCATCAAGTCGTCGATTTGTTGTGTTCAAATCTGTCGTAGTAACTGATACATCACCCATGCTTATGTATAAAAAATATAGAGATGGGAAAACAAGCTCTGATACCATCTGATGCGTAACGAAAACGTGAATAATAATAAAAGTGTCTTGTTCTTAACACACGAACAGGTGTTTGCTTGAATTTCGCTCGAATTGAATGATGACTATTTGGAATTCACCAAATAAGAGATAAAATGATTAACTCCAACTCAATTCAAATTGTATAAGTAAAGCGCACAAGGGGCAACAGGGGCATGAAGGGAAATGAGCTAGACAGTTACAACAAATCACATGATCTATTGTTACAACAATTCACAAGCTGGTTATACAGGCAGTTAGAGCACAGTATGGGGATCACACAGTCTATAAATAGGGGGGAAAGAAGAACGAAGGGAGGGGAAATTAAGTATATTCTTGGGGGAGAGAATGGGCACTCTCGAAAAGCCAAATAGGGCACTCTCAAAAAGCCAAATACCATTTATTTCATTTCTTTGTTGCTGAGTACATTTACATAGCAGTAAATAATTGTAATTCCTACCATCTACCTAGTTACTATAGTCGAAGTTCTCCTATTACAAAATGTCAACTAGTATTTTACATCATTTAGGTGTTGGTATCTTCCTTACTGTGTTCATTTCTTCTGGAGGAATCATTCATAAGTGCAGGAGTTTATCAGAAAACTAAAATATTTTATTAGTTAAGAATCAAATTAATTATTTTTACTATATTAACGCGTATTTATAGGCTCAAAACAATTCATAATCAAAGTGAAATTCTAATTCTATAAACAAATCCAAATAAACTAAAAACTATTAAACAAACTTGAATAAAAATAAAATATTGTAAAAATGACTAAAATATCCTTAAACTGACTCAAAAACAGAAATGCTAAAATAGAGCTCTAAACAAAGTTATTTGATCTCAAAAAAAAAAAAAATGTGCAGAATCGAAAAACACATCCGAATTGTACTCACGATAAAAAATTCGACATTCGAGCTGAAAGTTATGTATGTTTTTGTAGATCCTTCTTTTTTTTCTCTTTTCCAATTATTTATGATTTTCTCTTCTTACTGTCTTCCCTCATTAACCACCTTCACTTACTCTATGGGTTCTCTCTAATCCAATCTTTATGCGTCTCTTTTTCTGGTTGCATTAATTTTTTTGGTGTGACTCATCAACTTTTTCATTCATGCAAGTTGTTAATGATGATGGTTCAGTATCCTTCATAATTATGTAGCTTCATTTAATGCTACAATGGTATATACAGCGGCAACGTTGTTTGCTTTATGATGTGACTAATTCAGTATTTGGACCGTCATGGTTCATTTAATCAAAACCTGATTTTAAATCTATAGCACTGGGCATTTTTGAGGTATAATGTGCAGTGCAAGCTCATTTGCACATTAAAGGAATTTAATGTATAAGAAAGAACGAATTTAGGAAGGTATGCCTTTCGAAATGTACTTGTTTACTGTTCAGAATTAAACATAAAATGTGGCCAAAAAAAGAAATGAAACAAAAAGTTATCAACGAAACGCTAAATTTCACATTGTTATCTTTAATTTTGGAAAAATTGGTTCGTTCACTTTTCTCTCTTTTCGTGTTTTGCTTCATTATTCAATACTTTATTTTAATAGAAATTTTGCAAATCACCACCTTGGTAGCTGTTATTATGAGTTTCAATAAAGAATAATTTTATGGTTTCTACTAAGAGCTTGTTTGCCTTCCATTAAGAGAATGTTTGGGAAGTGTTTATAAATGTTTTAAATTATAAATAAATATAAATTAGTAGATAAGTGGGTGGTAATTGTTGGTTCTTCAACATGTATAGATAAAAGTGGTTTGAGTGCTTATTAATGATATATAAACATGAGTTAAACATAAGATAATCTCCTTATAATTTAAGGTTCGAAGTCAAATTGTAGTTTTAACCACATTTTGTAGGATTCAGAACTACTTCCTACTTATTCACCACTTATTTCTATCACATTATAATTTAGCAACTTATAATGAAACCCAAACAAGCACAATCATTTGTAAAATAAAAAGAAATTCATCTTTCGGATATATTAAAGGAGAAAAAATATGATGTTTGGGTTTTATAATAGTTTCATGTATTTTTTTTCTTTAAGCTTGGTACGTATTAATATTTCCATGTTCGGAAGGCCATTATCCCTTAACTTCCTTGACTAACCTTTTATTAAGCTTCTCCCTTGTGCTATAAATGCAGCTTGTTCTGCCCTTGTAGATGCTGGAATTCCTTTGAAATATCTTGCCGGTAAACATTATATATGGACATTCTTCCCAATAATGTTTTGAGGAATGATGTATTATACACACTTTCATACAAGTGAAATAATGTTTATTGAATTACGTTGAGTACTAACAATAGTTACAATTATTTTCTGTAGTTGGCATAAGTTGTTGTCTATCAGAAGATGAGTATTGTGTACTGGATCCCAACAAGCTAGAAGAACAGGTATTCTAATTATTCTTGTTTGACTTGGTCATTCTCATTCAGTATTTTGTTTTTGAAATTTTCTTTGCCTTGAGTTAGTCAAATTACTGAATGAATGAATCATCTGATGTACAAATATTTATATAATAGGTATCAAGAATATACCACAAGTCACTGCACCGTTCGTTCCTGTAGCCAGTATGCTGTTGTGTACA